ATATATATATATATATATATATATATATATATATATATCTTGACATTATTATAAGTTAGTGATATGAATTTTAAGCGCTTATAAGTAATTTAATTTTTAATGAACGTACACTAATATATAGTGGTACTAAACTAAACTTTAGTACTACCTTGAAAAAATGTGTACTAAGATAAATTATAACTAGCAAACAATTAGTCATATAGGGTTAAAATATGATAAAAGGGTAAAGGAGATTCACTTATATGTAGGCCATCTTTAAATTATTCGACATCCATAGAGACGTAGGAAGTTCATCCCTACCCCCCATCATGAATGGTCGATAAAAAAACAAATTAAATAGAGGGTATATTTGGTACGATGAAAAATATTTTCACGAACTTTTTTTTTTTTAGAAAATGTTTTTTTAAATTTAAGTGAGCTTTTATTTATTTTTTGGTATGTGATAAGTAAGAAAGAAAATATTATCTCACGAGTATTTATATGTTATCTAGCAAAACATTATGAAGGGGATATCGCGAGTAGTAGGGCCCTTTGCACAATTATCAGCCCATGTGCTAACAAATAAACATATCTTTTCTCTTCTCTCATTTTATGGAAAATTGTGATGAAAATAATAGATAATTTTTTTTAAAATATTAAACTATTGGAGTTTCATTTATTTTACATTATATAATATTAGAGTTATATTTACCTAATTTATTATTTAACATGATATTGAGTCTTCATCTTGTATTTTCTATGATTTAGATATTCAATTATGATGTTTAAATTAAAGGAATGCAATGAGTTCCACATTAATAGATTAAGGGGTATTTAAAGATGGTTTGATTAGGGAATAAGTTATACTAAGTTTATAATGATGGAATTATAATATTGAGATTAGTATTGATAAAATTATTTAATGATTGTATTTTTTAATTGATAGATGTTCAGTTTATTGGACTAAAAAAGAGGATATACTAGTATAATATGAAAAATATATATAGTATTTGGTTTTGAACATTACGATAAAAATAAATTTTAGCGGTAATAAATGAATATATCAATAAAAAGTGCTAAAATCTTTACCGGCATTAGTTAAGTACCATTAGATCCAATGTAGCTAAAGCATTTAGTGACACATACAAAGAATGTTAATTGCCACTAAAAATACATATTTAGCGGTAATTGCTAATTAATTACCGCTAAAGCATATTTTTAATGTAGTAGAAGTAGATAAGTTGGGATAAATTTTTGTTTGCAATTTTAACCTTGTCTTGCTTAAATAGTTTGGAAGAAAAATTATTAAGAAAGGCAAATGTATGTCATTTTGTTGTTTAGTTAAGGGATTAATAATCCTGGAATTATTATCTTATCTTTGGTGTGTGATTAAAATAATACTATGATTATAATATAATTAATTCCAAAATTGATAGTCCCAAAATTTTAAAACTCAACAAAACTTAGAATAAATTAATCCAAAATTTATTCCCGAAATTGTATTCTTTGTCCCTCAAACCAAACATATTTTCATTTCATGGTATGGTTTTGACCAATTCTTATATCTTAAACTAGTTGTTAAGATCAAGTTACGCAAATATTCATTTTTTATTAATTATCAGATTCGAATTGTATAATATAGAGATGAACTCATTAAATAAATCCTGAAATTAAATATCAAATATAGTGTAAACATATAAAATATATAATAGGATGGATATATATAGCCTTCTATGAAGAGTTGTGGATGGTTGAAACTCTTCCCATCTTAATCAAAATAATTAAATTCAACTTTGAAAATGAAAAAAATTTATATAGAGAATAATTTATCTTTATAATATACTTGTCTTTTACGTATCCAATTTAATTAGATTAGTAAATATCGAATATTGAATAGTTAAAATAAACATTATGAACAAGGATAACCATTCTTTTTTCTTTTTGATATGCTTAAATTTGTTAATCATCTCCATTCAATTTTTTAGGGTGAGTTGTTTTTCTTGTAAAGAGAGAAGTCTTTTTTTTTTGGATCAAAAGAATAGTCACCTAATATTTTATTCTTTAGAATGATAGATATTTGCTTCTGTACAAAAAAAAAGAATAAATGATATTTGTTCTTTTTTAAAAAAAAGAATAAAAAAATGATATTTGCTTCTTATGAGCTAGTTACATTTTGGAATATTGAATTGAACAACTTTTTGGCCACTAAAATTATTCTTTGTTTTAGGACAAAATTATTAACTCAAAAAAAAAAACTTTAAAGTTGACTTTATGTCTCTATTCGTATCATTTTTGTATATAATCATCTTTTTATTATTTCTCAATTTCCATTTATTTATTCTATTTTACTTTAGACAAATTATACAAAAATGTACATTAGATTATATTTCTTCTTATTCTTACCTAAAAATAATCCACTTAAAACATTGATCCATTTATTACTAATTTACCATAAATGGTCATTACACATTTTTTTCTGACCAAATTTCGAACACTCGCCAGTGGCTTCGCGCATCTCTTATTGTAGAGGTTTAAACCAACTCACCCACAACTACTGCTTTTACTCAATAGGTGCTCATTTAAATTATAATAACATATTTATCATATTTTCTATATATATATACAAAAAATTTCGAAAAACAATGGGTGCTCGAGCATCCGCATCTGGGTTACTGAGTCCGCCCCTGAATTCATGTATAAGTATGCTATATTGTATAATCATTATATATTTTTTATAACTTTTGATAAGCTATAGTTCATAGTCAGTGTATATTTATAGTTTGTTTTTTTTAGTCGGTTCCAAAATAATTTTTTTTTCTTTTTTTGATAACTCTTTATCTCTAACTTTATCAAAATTATACTTTGATACATTCTTCGTATCTTTAATTTAAAATCATAAAATTTAAAAACATTTTAACATTTTAAGCTTTACTCTAAGCTCAAACATGAAAATCAAATTGAACGGAAGAATTATGAGAAGTTGATCGAATATGTAAGCCAAACCCAAAATATTAGCACTAATTTTTGATCTATGAACATATGAATGATTAATATTAAAATTAATAATATAAAAATCATATTTATATGTTATAATTATAATTTGTATAATTGTGCTTCATAGCAAATTTTATTTTGCTATGAAGCTTTTGATTTGTATAATTCGCTAGATATATCCAATTTAATTTATACAAATTGTTCAATTTTATATAAATTTATTTATACATTATAATTTGTATAATAAGATTTGTATTTACATAATTATAAATGTATAGGGCGAAAAATATATGTATTTATATTTGTATATACATTTTTCTCTCGTTTATACAAACACAGACACATTTTATACATTTTATATCGAAATATATAAAAGGGTTAATCGTATACCAAATCAGATGACAAAAAAATAGAATACTTGCTATGAATATAAATAAAATAAACTATGACTATAACATTTGATCCAAATAAATAATTTACTATTTCATATCATTTTTTGGGATTACGCACAAGTACCCCCTCAACTTATGCCCGAAATCTCAGAGACACACTTATACTATATTAAGGTCCTATTACCCCTCTGAACTTATTTTATTAATAATTTTCTAGCCCTTTTCGTCTTACGTGGCACTATCTTGTGGGCCCAATGCTGATTGACTTTTTTTTTTCAAAATAATGCCACGTAGACCGAAAAAGGGTAGAAAATTACTATAAAATAAGTTTAGGGGGGGTAATAGGACCTTAATATAGTATAAGTGTGTCTCCGAAATTTCGGACAAAAATTTAGGAGATACTTGTACATTTTCCCTTTTTTTTCCTGAAAAGAAAAAGGAAAAAGAAAAGGTCCAATTCATACTATAGGTTAAAAAATTATTTAAGCAAGAATAAGAATATGAAATGTAGTTGTATATATTTTGATTCAGTGCTCAACTTGGGGTTTTTTCTTTTTTTCTTTGAAAAACAAGTTGAAGCCCTAGATTCTTATTTCGTTGAGATGGCGAGTTTAATTTCAATACATAATTATCAAATTATTTTTGTTTATTATAATAATTTTAATTTATTTCAAAAATTATAAATTTCACTTTTTAAATACAAGGGCCATCGGTAGAATTCTTTATATAATTATTCATGTAGGACAATATATAATTAATAAACATATATATGGATTTTGTTATAGGTTGTATTATATATTATTTTATGTCACTAAGTTAAGGCTAGAAACTAGAAAGGTATAAATGTTCCCAAAAAAATGATATAAAATAGTGGTTAGATATGACGTGATATATTGTAATTTAATAGAAGAATATAAAGGTGAATATTAAAGTAGACAGTTAATAAATTTAATGTTCGTATTAAGATTATTATTATTCTTTTAATATCTTACTTTTTGATTTTATTAATATTTGAACAAACTTCATATCGATCAAGTAACTATTAGTATTTGCGTTTCATACAAAAGTTATATAACTAGTTTCTCTAACCCAAAGTCACTAAATTTTGAGATACAAACAAAAAAGTCACAAAGTCAAAACATATCATATCTACAAAGTATCATTATTTTTAGCGGAAAATACATTATTTCTGACATACTACTTTGTATACATAACGAATAATGACATAACTATGTCATTAATTAATTGAATGTGTCAAAGTACAAATTCATCTAGAAATACTTTTATCTTGGATGTGTAATAATATGAAGTTATTATATCAAGCTACTTATACAAAGAGGAAGATTGAACAAGCATGACATCTACACATTTCTTAATCATTTTATCGTATATAATTAAACACATTTCATTAACAAAATAATCATTTAATTCTTCATTTTCTATTAAAATTAGAACTTATTTAATTATCTTACAATATTTTTTATCAATACTCTTCAATGATCATCTTATTCATTAAACACAACTTAATTAATCATATTAAACATAAACTTGTGTAGTCAATTATGAACATACTTGTGTAGATTTTGGGCCACAAATTATTGGTATCTACCAAGTTCTAGAGAAAAAATAATACGTGAAAAAAATATTCTCGAAACGTAAACATTAACTATTTTTATGCTAAAAGTACTATATTGAATTATTATTTTTGTTTCCTATGTAACATAAATATTTAAATTTTATCATCACTTTTTGAAAAATAATTTTAATTTTTACATGTTAAATTATTTAAATAAATATCATATTATTTGAGATAAATAAAAAGAATAAACATTAACAACTTAAACCAAGGTACGTGCATGCCCACAATTTGTTCCAACAGAAAATGTTATTTCCTTGGGTAGATAAGAAGTCACTATCAATTTGGTCGATTAATTCAGAAATTTATCGAGAAATTCGTAGTTGTTACTTTTTTATAGCATATTAAGTAACTTATTTTTGTATAAGAATTTACAAATCACATTAATAATATATATCGTATTAAATAAATTGAACCTGATGAATTCAATTAAAATGACATAACAGATTAAATTGAACCCTAATCTTTCTTGATATCGAGTGTGTTTGGTATGAAGGAACCAGAAAGTGTTTTCCAATTTTCTCATGTTTGGTTGGGACAAAAATTTTGAAAAAAGTTTTTCGAATCAACTCATTTTCCTCAAAATTAAGAAAAATGATTTCCTTTAAAAAATTAAGGAAAACATTTTTCCAAACTCTCCTCAAATTTAAAATTACATTTTTATTTTAGGAAAAACAACAATCTTTTTAAAAAAATTTAATTCTAAATTATTTTTTTAGCCGATCCCTGACCACCACCCAAACGCACCTATCATCTCATATGCTACATCAGCTCGATCACAATATACTTCATTTGTTTCGATTTATGTGACACTTTTCGTTTTTCAAGAGTCAAATAATTAAAGTTTGACCGAAAACATACGCGCGAAATTTTCTATTTTTTAAAATAAAATTTATACAACTATATAAAAAGTACTATAGGTCACAATAACTGTTAATTCAAAATAAATAAAAATAAATATAAAAAATTTACAATCAAAGATAAAATCATTTAAATCTTGAAAAGTGTCAAAATATAAAGTTATTTAGTTTGTTATAAACATTCGATATAGATAAATAAGTCGCGGTCGATAGAGAATGTAAATATGTCTAGAACATACGTACGAATGGTAATTGTGATTATAGAAAACGACGAATACGTGGATGAAATTAGGATCATGTATGGACCGACTTACAAGGATAACATATTCCCATACGATCACGACACGTGTACGGTTAATATCATCCATGTACCTTCGTTTCACTATAAATAGACACTCATGCTTCTTCCCTCAATCACTCATTTCTACACCAATCAAAAAAAAAAAATCACATTTGATTTCTCAATTCTTGTTTCAGACCAATCAATCATGTCGTGCTGTGGAGGAAACTGTGGCTGTGGATCTAGCTGCAAGTGCGGCAACGGCTGTGGAGGGTAAACCCCTAATTTTTTTTTTCGATTTCTCGTCTTGCGTTCGATATCTGAATGAGTGTGCGCTTTGTAAAGGTCTATTTTATGGGAGATAACAACTCTACAAAAGATTTTTTTTGTTTTGTTTTATATTAGCTTGAATTTGAGAATTCTGGTTAAGAGTTTTTTTTTTGTGTGTGATCCATGCATGGATGTGTTTTTCTTGTGAAGGATTGAGTTTTTTTAATTTGAGATTTGTTGGCTGATCCCTTGATTTTTATTTGTTTTATCTTCTTTTTATCAAAACTTTACACTACTAAATTTTTGATCCCATGCATGGATTGATGCAAAATGGAATTTTGATGGGGAATTGTGGGATCACAATAATAGTTTTGTGTTGGGCAATTTTTGTGCTAATTTTGAGGGATTGGTGACAAGCAAGGGTTGGATCTAGAAGCAAAGGAGCGGTTATATTAGTGACCTAAGACAAAAATCAGGATTTTAAACATGAATTATAATAACATTTATATAATAATAATATTTATATAATTGATTTCTTTTAGATTTCAAATATAATTATTTTTATTTTAAATTATTTTTTATTAGATACAGTACTTCAAATATGTTCTAATAATTTCTTTATTTTTATGAAAAGTTTATTTATTTTTTTATAAATAGTATTCAATATTTGTTAAAAAATAATAACTTATAATTTATCATTATTAAAAGTGAAAGTCCCTTAAATTTGGGACATAAAGGGTCACTTCTTTTTTAACATTATGGAATCACCCTGCTACGATCTCTGAAAATGGCGAAAGAACAAACTCGAAAGCCAATTATCCCGATCATTTGTTTATCGAGTGCTCTGTGTTAATTTGATATAAATACCTTTTAATTTTTATATTTCTATATATATATATATATGAGGAGTATAAGGAGTTTGATGGGTCTAATTTCCTTATCATTGAGCTGTCAATCCGTTAGTTTCACGAGTTATTACTTAATAATATTAGTGTTTGAACCCACAAACTCCCACCAAGCTCCGCCCTTAATTGAGCTTTCTCTTGTTTGATGTTGTTGAGGGTATGTTTCATATTTTTTTTTTTAATTTTGGTGTTGTAGTTGCAAGATGTACCCAGACATGAGCTACACCGAAAGCAGCACAACCACTGAGACTTTGGTGCTTGGGGTGGGACCTGAGAAGACAAGCTTCGGCGCCATGGAGATGGGTGAATCCCCTGTTGCTGAGAATGGCTGCAAATGTGGATCTGACTGCAAGTGCAACCCTTGCACTTGTTCTAAGTGAACGAAAATATAGTTGAAACAGAGCAGAGATCATGGTGTTAGCCTTCTATGGCTGAAGAAAAATAGTTGAAAAAATGTGTGTGTCTAGTGTTTTAGTGTGTCTGTCTGTTGAAAACAGGGAAAAAAATGTGTTCTTTTTTCCCTGTAATAAGAAATATAGTAATGGAGTCTTTATGTGTAAGTAACCAGTAAAATGGTTTGTGTAAACATGAATATCTCTGCATCTGTTAATTTTAACATATAAGTTTGGATATGTGTTGTGGTTTCAACTAATTCAAGTACTTCCTTGATAATGTTTTCCTGTTTCTAGGCTGCAAAACTATAGTAAATCTTTTAGGTTTTGGTAAAACCTAATTCCATTGGGTGTGGTTGGAGAGCATATAGTTTTTGCGAATATGTAAATTTCTATCGGGGAAAAGGGAAGATCCGCTTGATAGAGGAGTTTTCATTCATCAGCATAGACTAAAAGTGCTCTTCGAGCTGAGTCGAGTTTGATTCCATTCTCCATTTTTCTTTTGTGACTTTGCTTACCATATCCATGTTGGACCAATGTATAATAAACACAAAGATAGCCACAATTGTATCAAATTTCACAATAGGAAAAAGCTATCTAACAAAAATAATACCCAAGAGATATAAAGTATAATAATGCTGAAATATTTTATGGTTGGAATTAGTACAATACAAGCCGTTTGAGTAGAAAGGAAGGTAAATTTCTTGTCCAGTTCTAGCCTGAGCTTAGTATTATAAGGTGATTAACACAAGCCCTCAAATCCAACTACTCATAAATAATATCACAAAGATAAATTAAAATTCTAGCCAGAAACACAATCTTTCTTATACATGATCCTACAAACAACAAGATGTTGCAGAGAAGTTTTTCATTCCAATACTCCTCTTGCAGCCCACCTGAATAAGTTATGTACCTAGAGACAAATACTCTGAGAATACTGCATATACTACAGACACGAGAAGAAGGAATAAAATGGAAATGCAGATCATCGCGTTGAATTACCTGTTTTGATGTCAATCCAATCTTCTCCAAGTCATCTAGCTGCATGAACCAGACAAGTAGGCTTAGTTTTTTATGCAGTGACAAATCAAGAATCTTTAACATCATGTACGTTAAAAAGAGTTTCTTACTGATTTCACGGGGCTTGTTTCCCTTAGATCAATAATGTATTCAGCCATCTTTTGTCCAATTCCCTGTATGATATGAAAGATGCAATAAAAGATCACAGCTAGTTAAAGCGATGATAATGTTAATATCATGCAAAATGGAGTGAAAACTCATTGTTGGGGTATAGCGATTGAGAATGTTAGAATTGTGTGAAGAGACAAATAACATACCTTTATGGCTATGAGTTCCTCCCTGACACAATGTAGCAAATAATAATGTTAAGTCTCGATGCAGAAAGAAGAAATAGAAAAAATAAAAGGGAAATGAAGACAAAAAACACTCACTTGCTAGCTGTGTTTAGTAACTCAATGTATTCTTGGACAAGAGAGTTCTGTATACTCAACAAAGAATTATTATAAGCAGAAATGCTAAACAATCAGAATATAATGACAAAAGGATTCCGTGCTCACCTTTAAGTTGGAACTTCGTGCACCAAATTTATCTAGTGGAGTTCCTAACGCTGCTATATTCTCATCAAAACTGCTTAAAGCAAAGGTTGACATAGGAGTCTGTTGATTGCATATAAGGTGTATTTGGTCCTTCGTGGACAAGTTCTCATTGTTTACGTTGGAGTTGATGGGAGAAAGGACCTTCCTAGGGGTAACCTCACATGCTTTAAGGGATTTCAAACAGTCAACCATGATCACTTTCTCCTCTCCATTAATTTCTTCATCTACACAAGACCAAACAGACAAAAATAGTCAAAGTTTATTTGACTGCCTGTAAGCAAGATGTTTTATATTTATATATTGGAAAAGTTCTAACTACGAATTTTTATACCTATCTGTAAAAAGGGCTAATTAGACAAATAAACTCCAACTAAGTTACATATGTAAATGACAAGATTTAGACATTAGTCTAGATGGGTTACGGTACGGGAGTAGGCAGGCATGCTTCAATTACATGATGTAATAGTAGTATGAATGCTGTATGTGAAAGAACACAAAGATGAGTGCTATTTTCAGGATTTTATAGTGGAGTAGAGGAAATGATTGTGTGGTGACCCTTAAACTACTTGAAAAAGGGGGAAGCACACCAGGAGCTCAGTGGATTCAACTAATTAAAATCTTCTGAAATGGGCCTAAGATTGTGCCATCCATGAACAGATGCTGGTTTATACAGGACGAGCAAGTTTAAGAAAAATGAGAATTTGATTATAACAAGTCATGCAAAGGAATGTGCAGTCTTATATATGAAAAAACAAGAAACTCATAGGGCCTAAATCGTGAAAATAACTCATGGTTAAAAAGATCAAATGTTTTAGGTATAACCGGTGAAAGTTTGCAAATAACTGAAAAATTGTCTTGTTGCTGTGGTTTCATATGAATTGAGGTAGAATAACCATTACTATACACTCTCTGGGAGGAAAAGATGGAGGAGAACACTAGAACTAGCTTTGGCACATATATGATAGGAAAGACTGTCACATGCTTGTAGCTTAATATGAGTCAGTTATATAGAATTGGGGTGAAGAATACATGTGGCAGACTGTAAATACTGAGATGTGATTATTATAAATGGTCATTTACCATGCACCGCTGTATTAGAATCAGGCATAACCCTCTCAGCGAAAACCTCAAATTTCTTCTCTTCTCTTTGTCCACCAGTATCAGCAAGGTCCTGAACCTGCATTTGCACATTAATGCAGAAATCCAACTTAAAAAGATTTATCAATTGAATTCAATTCTGGTATAACGAGAAGTGTGATCAAGTTGTTCTGTTGTCCTTTCAAAAAGTTCACATCAAAAGTCTTTTTAGCTGTTAATTATCAGTTATCGCATACCAACTGAGTGATTCTCTTTGTGATAAAGATGACAAAAATTTAGGAATTGTTGTTTTCTTTGAGAGCTTATCAAGCTATCAGACATTACATCAACTCAAAGTGGAATTGAGATAGTTAAGTTTAATGGTTACCAGTTCATCTTCATTCAAAGAAATGGAATCACATCATATATACAGTAGCTAAGAAATTTAACAAAAGACCTACCCTGAATCAAGTCTGTCAATGGATTTATTCAATTTAAGACGGAGTGGGCATCATAAACTCAAAACCAGCTAGGGAGAAATTATAGTCTCATTTTGTTTTTTTACCTCTGCTGTTGTGTTCGCTCGATGTCCATTCTTAAATAAATTTTTACAAGCTCCATCTGGATTCCTGTTCAACATAGTTAAGCAATCATCAAAATCAAAGGCAGGTAAATACAACAAGATTATAGACTATAGAGTAATCTCTTACCTCTTTTTTATGCTTGAAGCTCCTTGATTACTGATAGATTTTTGCTTGCAAGAACTCCCAAACAGACCTAGCTTTCTGGTAGAGCATATGGAATTTGGAGTTTTGCTGGTTAATGGGGAATCAAATGCCCCAATTCTCTGAGTACTTTTTGTCTTGCCTTTAGATTCTAGCCATGATCGGAGCTTTGCCTCCATGTCGATTTTGACCTTTGGAGTATCTCCTTTTTGTGCTGAGGCAACAAAATTGGATATATGTCTTGACCTGGCTGCTAAACTAACTGTATGAAGAGATTCTTGGTACTCCCCAGGGTTCTATGAACAAATGAAACAGTTGACATTTGACAATGTTAAGAACACTGTTGCATTCATGGAACTCAAAGGCAAGAGATGATATATACAATATCCTACCAAGCAAGCAACCATCAAAGCACGGCTTGTTCCTCCAAGAGAATCTTGCAATACCCTTGTCAATTTGCTTTCTCTATAGGGAATTCGTGGTTGATTGTTGTTCAATGCATAAATCACATTTGATAGTGCAAATAATGACTGGTTGATCTTAGCACTCTCTTGTAGACGAATCCCAGTGTTGCAAGTTCTTCTATTGTCTTCGTTACCTAATTCAGTGACATTTGAGTTACAATATGAGAGTAACTTTTCAGTTCAATATATTCTTAAAACAATTCATGGTTAAATTTAATAAATTTTTAAGACCTGCCAAGTCAATAAGGTTCAACTTCCCAGTAATGATATTTCCAGTATCATCACAACTTGGAGTAGAAACATAAACCGTGAGCACAGCATGGCTCCTGCTAGAGACATCATTAACGCCCGTATGTGCAACTTTTCTCCTCTGAACCGCACAAGAAAATGCTTCTAGAAACTCTGACGTTGAACTGACAGCAACTTGTGCAAGTCCTTTGAGATGAATCTGCCCATCTTTGTCGTCCAATATGAAAATTTCTTTCTCCTTAAGTTCAAGTAGATCATAGCACCTATCCATGTAAATTTCATAGTATGATATTGCTACGGTACTTTTCCCCTGACTCTTCGAGAGAATAGAGGACATTGCAAGTGGCATTAAACCAGGGAGGTTTTCAGTTCCCTGCATCAGCAACAAAGTTTTTCAAAACAATTCACAGGTACATCCAAGAATTAGGATTTAGGAAGGCCTGAAGGGAACTATAGTAGAGGTCAAATGGAGAAGTTCTAGATTAGGACCAACGGCTGCATATATGGGATAAGCATATGCATGGTTTCAATCTGAAAAGTCTGATATGTCTTTTGTTCAATCATGGATCTATGTTATAGAAGTTATAGAGCAGCAAAAGACTTGAAAAGAAACATTGAGTAGGTCTGTTATAACTTATAACTCAATATATATCTCCTACTCCACCAGTATATTTTAGCATCTAGTCCACTTGCCCGAATGATGGAGCAAGCTGTGTTATGTAGACAAATGAAACATACCTGCATGGTGTATGTTTTGCCACTCCCTGTAGCGCCATAAGCAAATATCGTTACATTGTAACCTTCTAATATCCTGGGGATCAAAGGACTGACTTCTTTGCCAAATATTTGGCTTATATTGTTATCTTCTTGTCCGAAAAATGCATCCAACTTGTAGCATTCATTACGACTAAAGTCAAAAACAAAAAGTTCCCAGGATAAGGTTGTAGTGAGACAGTTTTAATCTTCACAAATGCCAACAATTGAGAAAAAACTTACCTAGTTTCATGATCTTTGAGATGAACTGTGACATCATCAGAACGCTCACATTCTGAGTTGAGAACAGAGACACAAGAGATTGGGTTTCCACCTATCGAGTTAATTTCTCGTGAAAGAAAAGGGCGAACTCTAACAATAACTCTAACTTTTGTGACCACTGAGGATTCTAACTGCTGTACTCTTCCAGGAGTTGGCAAGTTTTCTGTTTGACATCCTTTAAGACCATTCATTTGCATATTTATGTCAGGGACAACAGAATCTGTTTATATAACAGCAATAAAATAAATAACATTAGCATTTAAAAATGCAGTCTTGTTGAACAAAGTACTGTCTTTTTCAATAAACAGCATGCCAGATAAAATCTTTTGAACAAATGTTTCTTCTTTTTATGGAACAACTCATCTCCTTCTGGAAGGATCACAAAAGAGTTTCAACTAAGAGCATAAATCGATTTAAAGTTTGACTTGTTTTATGAATACTTAAGCATAATAGGATATTTCCTTTTTCTTTTAGTCTTTATTCGTATTGTTTATCTGAAACTAGTTAAACACCTACATAGGAATAACAACAACAATAATGTATCCGGTGTAGTCTCATAAAGTGAGTTCTGCGGGTAGAGTATACGTAGACTTTACTCTTACCTCAAAAGTAGAGACATCATTCTCGATAGACCCCTAGCTCAAGGAAAAACAAACCAAAGCAATCCAGAAAAAGAAATAATAGAGGTGAACTCATAACAAACCAATAATACACTAATCGAAGTACAAGAAACAACATACATACAGTAACAAAACTAGAAGGACAAGAGTAATACTACGACTACAATATGAAGGGATTAGCTAGACAACTCTACTACCTGCTAACCTACTACCCTAATCCCCCTATGGCACAACCTACTCTAGAATGTGAAATAATTTTAAAAACCTCATAAAGTTTGGATTTTTAACTATTCTACATAGAATTGAGCTCAAAAATGTTCCCTTTAATCAACATTGTACCAAATTCCTATCTTAGCCATCCATTTACATCAAGGTTCAAGTTCGATTCACTAACATTTTACTTTTAAACTAATGGAGTATGTAATCATACAACTTAAACAAACAAATCACTCTCTGAACAGACAGTAAATCCATTTCTTCTCCCATAAGAATAATCAAATTTAGAGTGATCACAAATTAAAACCAAAAATAGACTAAGAAACATCAAAATCAAAAGAATCTTAGTAGTTTAGTTGATTAACTACCTGATTCCCAAGATTTCGATTCCCCACCTTATAATCCCCTTCGAAGTCCCCGAAAAAACCTAAAAAAAAAAACCAAAAAATCAATGGATTATTTTTGAAGATATACGAACCTTAAGCTTGTAGATCAACTCCAAAATTCACAATTTTTTTTCCCTTTTGCAACAATTTGTGTGTATGTGAGAGAAATGAATTACAAAGAGTTCGTTTTGAGATTAGTACAATTTCAAATTCTGAAATGGCGGTCTCGGGTTTTGAACTTTTTTTTTTGAATTAAAGTGTTTTGGGCCTTTTGCCTTTGGGTATGGGTTTGCATGGCCCAATCCCAACCCATCTAGTCTTTCATCTTTAGCGATTGCACTCCATAGCCAATTTTATGGACTCGTTTAGTTTCGACCTTTAAGGTTCTTAACACTGAAATTATTGTACTTTTTAAATTATGGATTCGTATATAGAGTTTGCTGAAATCCTAGTGAGGTTTCATATGTATATTTATGCTCAGTCGTTTTACTACCTCACTAGGTAGAGAAAGGTCGAAGTACGCTCTTTACATATGGAAATTTCACCAGTATGTTATTGTTGTTGAAATTTACTTCGTTTTGATAATATTCTGCATCAACATCGAGTTTTGCCTGCTTTGGTACCACGTCAAGATATATGTAAGTTTGAAAGAAGTGTGAGTTAGGGCAAGTCTAGGTTCAAAACACTCTCATTTGACACATATTTTGTCACGTATGAGACTGACATGTGTAGGTGCCTGGCACTTGGTAACTAAAATAGTCATAATGTATGAAAAATATGATCATTTTTGTCTTAAACCTTAATACTATGTTTGGATCATTGTTATCCATTGTATTGTATTGTATCGTTACTATACTTATAATATTTGTTTTGATTGTTACTTAAACTGTATTGTACTGTATTGTTAAATTTCGTTGTTCCTTGACAAAGGAAACCCCTATTTTATGGAACAACCAATTTGGTGCGTTCCCATTTTTACTTAATTTCTTTTTCCAATTATATTTTTACAAAATATTTCAAAATACTGTTTTACCCTTTACCTTAATTATTTAAACCTGGTCAAACCTTCTAACCTAAAATAATTAAGAATATTTAAGTAAATTTATAAATTACAATACAGTACGATACAATCAAACCAAACAATTAGAATATTACTACACAACAACAAACAATACAATTTAGCCAAACAACATATCTACCATACAATACAATACAATACATTATAATATAATACATTATGAAATAATTGTAACAATGTTTCAAACAAAGTGTAAACATTACCGGTACAAAGTAAAGAAGTCATACTCTAAGATCAAAGTATTGTGCATTGTAGTTATAGTTTAAACACTTGATGAGATCCTAAGTTTTATTTTATCTTTGTAAAAAAAAAGAAGTCACAAGATCAAAAGCTTAAGGTATATATGTCAAGTTTGAGCATCAAATTACTAATGTGATTTTTGTATCTTTTTTGGATGCAAGGAATAAGATTTCTTCCTATTGATATTAAAATGAGGTGGGTTTTTGTCCACTTCATTTTTGGTATTTCATCAAGTTGATTTTTACCATAACAAAAAGTAATAATCCACACAAAGCGATGGTTGTATATAAACAAATAAAAATAGTGTCATTATAATCCTAAGGTAAATCAAATATATTTTATTTAAAATATATATTGTGTTTTTTTAAAAAAAAAATCAATTTCAAATACTTTTCTTAAAAAATACCACTCAACGCATGCTCAAAACGCCTAAGATGATGTTTATTACTTTCATTTCATTTTTCAAATTTATATCTTTAGATTAAAAAAAATAGAAAGTTTCCACTATAATTATCATACATTAGTCAAATTTAGGCAATGCCTAAACTTGTTGGTTGGGAGGGTGGCAAAATTAAATCTAATCTGTCTAATTCGATTCAACTTATTTACGCTTGGATTGGTTATTGTTCCGCTCATTTGTTGGCTCAATTAATTTTAGCCCATCAAAATTTGTGAAAAATTTATAATATATATATATATATATATATATATATATATATATA